CGGAGTTCCCCACATAAAGAGATTAACGATTTCGTGGGACCCATTTTCTTGATGCCCTCCTCGCTTTGGCGGGGCCCCGCTGGAAGGGGGGAGGGCTACGAAACCTGGCGAAGAGTAATGCTTTCCGCGACCCTCCTCGCTCAGGCGGGGCCTCTCTGGAGGGGTGGGAGGGGCACGAAACCATGCAAATAGTATGGTATTCCGATACCCTCCTCGCTCAGGCGGGGCCTCCCTGGAGGGGTGGGAGGGGCACGAAACCATGTAAATAGTATGGTATTCCGATACCCTCCTCGCTCAGGCGGGGCCTCCCTGGAGGGGTGGGAGGGGCGCGAAACCATGTAAATAGTATGGTATTCCGATACCCTCCTCGCTCAGGCGGGGCCTCCCTGGAGGGGTGGGAGGGGCACGAAACCATGTAAATAGTATGGTTTGCGGAAACCCTCCTCGCTCAGGCGGGGCCTCCCTGGAGGGGTGGGAGGGGCACGAAACCATGTAAATAGTATGGTTTTCGGATACCCTCCTCGCTCAGGCGGGGCCTCCCTGGAGAGGTGGGAGGGGCACGAAACCATGTAACTAGTATGGTTTTCGGATACCCTCCTCGCTCAGGCGGGGCCTCCCTGGAGGTGTGGGAGGGGCACGAAACCATGTAAATAGTATTGTTTTCGGATACCCTCCTCGCTCAGGCGGGGCCTCCCTGGAGGTGTGGGAGGGGCACGAAACCATGTAAATAGTATGGTTTGCGGATACCCTCCTCGCTCAGGCGGGGCCTCCCTGGAGAGGTGGGAGGGGCACGAAACCATGTAAATAGTATGGTTTGCGGATACCCTCCTCGCTCAGGCGGGGCCTCCCTGGAGGTGTTGGAGGGGCACGAAACCATGTAAATAGTATGGTTTGCGGATACCCTCCTCGCTCAGGCGGGGCCTCCCTGGTATGGTATGGTATGGTATGTGTGGTAGGAACTATGGTATGGTATGGTGTGTGTGGTAGGAATAATATTGTGCTGTATGGAAGATGGAGCGGGAGGTGGGTGGGAAGGAGAGGGCGTTCTGGGAAAACAAGAACCCCACTCAGGATGTGGGGGACAAGCAACAACAGCAACAACAACAACAATAATAAGTTAAAGACTGTTCGCCCTGCACTGCTCGAGTGTCCAATAACGCCTATTTCGTAAACCCTCGATACACGCCCTCTTCGTCTTCGATCGAACCCCTTTTGGGGGTATACATTTCTTCCCTGCAGGCCGGGCCCCGGCAAGCGGCGGGGCGGCCCTGGACCGTCGACCTGGCCAGCGGCAGCGCTGATCGGCGGGGCGGCCGCGGACCGCCGACCCGACCCCAAGAGGGACGGACAGGGGACCGACCACGACGACGACGACGACGACGACGACGACGACTACGACGTCGACGACGACGGCGACGACGACGACGACGACGGCGACGACAAAGACGAGCGAAAGCGAGAGCGAAAGAGAACGACAGCAGGGCCACAAGGACACGAAGTCGGCCACGAAGGGCAACAGCGGGGACACGAAGGGAATGCGTATGGGGCCACGAAGAGCGCGAACGAGCGGGGGCTACGAAGGGCAGATAATGCGGGGCGACAGAAGGCAACGATGGGGCCACTAAGGGTAGCAACTGGGCCACGTAGGACAGATGCAGATGGGGCCACCACGGGCGCGAACAAGCGGGGGCCACGGAGGGCATACATCTATGGGGCCACGAAGGGCAGCGAGGGGGCCACGAAGGGATGCAACGGGGCCACGAAGGGCAGCGAGGGGGCCACGAAGGGCAGCGACGGGGCCACGAAGGGCTGCGACGTGGCCACAAAGGGCAGCGAGGGGGCCACGAAGGCCTGCAACGGGGCCATGAAACAAAGCGACGGGGCCACGAAGGACTGCAACGGGGTCACGAAGGGCAGCGAGGAGGCCACGAGGGGCTGCAACGGGGCCACGAAGGGCAGCGAGGGGCTGCAACGAGGCCACGAAACAAAGCGAGGGGGCCACGAAGGGCTGCAACGGGGCCACGAAGGGCAGCGAGATCCCGATTCCTATGTAATATGTGAGGGAGTCCTAAGCGTGAGCGCGACTCCTGGGGGCCTGGGTGTCGGGAGCGCGGCGCTTGAGAGCAAATTGCAGGAAATTCTAACGCAAGGGCGCTATTCTTCAGTAAATTGCAAGCAAGTCTCCAGCGAGAGCGCGACTCCAGAGCGCCGGGATAATAAATTCTAAGGAAGTCCCAAGCGAGAGCGCGATTCCTGAATAAAACGCGAGGAAGTCTCGGGCGGGAGCGGGGGTCCTGGCTCAATTGTGAGGAAGTATCAGACGGGAGCCGCTGTTGTTGCAAACCGGGGGCCAACAACGCAGTTTGACCCTCAAGACTTTCCCTGATATAAAAACATTATTCCAGTGCGACCCGACCTAGGAGTTGGAGCCTCTAGGAAAGCAACAGTATGCTATGCTATGCTATGCTATGCTATGCTATGCTATGCTGCGCTGTGCTATGATATGCTAAGCAAGGTAATGCTATGCTATGCTATGCTATGCTATGTTATGCAGAGCTATGCTATGTTATGCTATGCTATGCGTGGCTATGCTATTCTATAATATGCTGTGTTAATGCTGCGCTGCGCTTTGCTGCGCTGCGCTAAGCTAAGCTAAGGTAAGCTAATATATGCTGAGCTAAGCTACGATAAGCTAGACTAGGCTAAGCTAAGCTAAAGCTAAGGTCAGCTAAGCTATGCTAAGCTAATCACAGCTAAGCTAGGCTAGACTAAGCTAAGCTAAGCTAAGCCAAGCCCAGCCAAGCCAAGCTAAGCTAAGCTAAGCCAAGCTAGGCAAAGCTAAGTTAAGCTAAGTTAAACTAATATGATACACGCTAAGCTAAGCTAAGCTAAGATGATATAAACTAAGCTAAGCTAAGGTAAGCTTAGCTAAGCTAAGCTGGGCGAACCCAGGGGGCGCAACTGGGGAAACCGCGGGGCGGGGACTGGGGGAACCGCCCGGGCGCTTTACACTGCCCGACCCCTTTAAGCTAAGAGAGTAAGAACCCTCTGGCAGAGCCTAGGTAGGGAAAAAAACAGGGTGCGAGCCCCAGGAAGGGCACTTCAATCGAAAAAAACATGTGCACCGGACGGGGGGATCAACAATAATCATTCTTCAGAATTGAGAGTTCAACAACAAAAAATGGTCCACAGGCTATATTTGGAATATCTTCTGATATTCCTCCTGTCGAGGGACACGCCCGACATAAACCTGTCGTCGCCTCCGAGACGACGGTGCGACGGGCGGCGGCCCGCGCGGCCCCGGCGCGGCAGGCCCTGCAGAGGCCGCGGCCACCGCTGCGGCTGCCGCCGCCCTGCACAGGCCGCAGGCGGCAACCATCCCCTGCGGCAGGGCGGCGGCGCTACCGCGGCGGCACGACGGCGGGGGCCGGCCCGCCGGGCGGCGGCTCCGACATCAGCGCCGGCGCCTGCCAGCGGGGGCCCTGCCGCGCCATGGTGGCAGCGGCGGCCAGCACGGCGGCGAGGGACGGGCGGCGGCGAGCAAGGGCGGGAAGCGGGGAGGGTGAGGCCTTCTCGGAGGATCTCCGGCCTTCTGAGGAGGTTCCTGCGTCTTCTCGGGAGACCGGCGGCCCTGCAGCTGCAAGCCTTCTAAGAAAGCCCGACCCCACTCGCTTCCCCCGGGCGCGCCGCCGAGATAGGCCGACCCAGGTCCCGGCGGCGACAGGGAGCCCGGAGCCAAAGCGCATGTTGCTCGCGTGGATCGGGCCGAGGACGACGTTGACGGTGGGGGGAGAAGGAGAAAAAGCGGCATAGGTAGCAACTGTCGGAGCTCATGGAGGATTTCTTGGGTCTGCCCTGGGCCCCCCTGGCGGCGCCTCCGACGCCGCCCCTAGAGCGCTCCACAGGTTACAGTCGGACTTGATTGGACAGGACACGCGAGAGGACAGAAGACCCTTCCGAGGGCCGCATTGCCACAGGAATGTAGGAAGCATGGGTCGCGAGACACAGGACACAAGGGTACCCTTGATTTGGCTGGGTCGACCTGCTAATCTGGGCCGACTGTAGGGGGGGGCCCACCGCAGATCCAAGTAATCCTCCAGGAGCTCCGAAAGTGTATGCTTATGCTAGGTCTCTCTCCTCGAGACGAAGCCTAGGGCCACGGCGGTGTAGCCGCTGCCCTTGTGCAACAGCTCCCAGGCCCTCCTCCAAGGCCCTGCCCCGCGGCCCGCGTGGCCCACCACCTTCAAGTGGCGCAGCTGGGCGTTGAGGGGCTGTAGGCAACCGAGGAGAACAACCACCAGACCTCTAAGGAGGAACGGGTACCAATACCGCTCACCCTTCCTTCGTTTTCGCCATTTGGGCCTCCTGTGAGGTCCTCGTCGCCACGGCTGGATTCGCATCGAATTCTGCTCAGAGCGCACCACAGGAGAGGTCCAGGAAGTAGCGGTATCGGCACTTCGTGTCCCAGAGACCTATAATCTCGTGCGGGAGCCTGAAGTGGGCCGCCCTCTTCCAGAGCAGGATGAAGACGCAGCCGACAAGCTGCAGGCAGACGCCGATGGACTGAAGCCAGCGGTGGCCCTGGAACCACGCGGGCACGCCCCCCGGCTCCCACTGGCTATCCCTGAGGTAGTGGGCCCAGACGACTCCCAGGGGCAGGAGACAGCCCCAAGAGAGGCACATGCAGACCACGTGACCGACCAGCAGGAAGCCAGGGCTCAGCGTGAAGTCACGATCCCCCGCCGGGACGTCGCAGCTGCCCTGGCAGTCGCCGTCGCAGCCCGCGGAGCCGAAGCAGACGCTGAAGGCCGCGTCCCTGAGAACGCCGTCCCTCTGGCCATGATACCCCTGGGCCGTGACCCGAAAAGGCTCGTGGTCCCAGTCGCTCCCGACCGGGACCGAGTCGACGAGACGCAGCGCGGCCTCCTGCGAGGCCTCGTCGAGCGTAAACCTGATGCGGTACTCCCCGCCCGTCCTGTCCGCCAGGAAGTAGTCGCGGCACTGCGGCACGTCCCTCAGGCAGTGCAGGGTGTGCCACATGGGGCCGGTGATGCTCAGATGCTCGTGCTGGGGAGCTTGCTAGAGCCACTCGCTCCACTCGAGCGTCGATGCTGCGTCGAACGTCCGTCGAGTCGCGTCGAACTTGAGTCAAACTTGAGTCGGGCTATGGTCGACCTAGAGTCGAACCAGGGTCGAACTGGACCCAAGAGGTAGGGCCCAGGAGGGTCCCCCAGACGAACATCCAACGATGACGTTACTGCCGTCCAGGGCGACGCTGCCGAGGTTGCAGAGGCTGTAGCAGTAGAAGTCCACCAAGTAACCGGAGTAGTTCGTTGGCGTCCCGCCCTGCCCTGGGGGGAAACGATGAGGGGAGGGAGGAGGAGGAGGACGAGGAGGAGCAGGCTGACGTGGCTGAAGATTCACGCTTCGTCCGAGCGGCTGGCGGTGGGGCCGAAACCAGCTGCACGCAGCAGATTTCGCAACGGGAAAATCAAAGCGGGGCAACGTCTCAGGGGGGCATCGACCCGGAATGGGCGACACATCGCCGATGGGCCCCCGACAGCGAAGCCACACGTTCCTGGGCGGCGCGGGCTATCAGGCCCACATCGGCGATGAACGGGCGGTGGGGGGTCGATGCATCCTTCGGTGACAACTCGCGGGAGCCCTCCATGCCACACTGCTGGCTCTTTCGAGTCGACGCTGGCCGACGCCAGTCGACGCTAATCAACGCTAAACCAACGCTAAGCCGAGGCCAATCAACGTTAATTCGGCGCCTTTTCATCAAGTACATGACGCTAGCGCACGCGAATGCACGCTGGAGATGGGATTTCGAGGACAAGGCTCCCATGATCTGGCACCGAAGCATACCCCCTGAGCCTGTCCCCTCCCTGACGTGAGCGCACTTCTTGTTCGCGGCCACAACGGGTGCGGGAGGGGAGGGGGGACGAGAGGGGGCACGACGCAGCGCCCCTCCCCCCTCCCCCCAGACAGTGCTGGACGCACTGTGGGGTCGCACTGATGGGGGGAAAGCTACACTATGGGAGGGAGGAAGGGGGGGAGGAGGGGAGGGCACAACGCGCGTTATGGTCTAGAGGGAGGAAAAAAAAGGCGGATAGGGGATTCAAGACGCCGGAGCCGAAACCCTTGCAAACGCCGACGCAGTGAAAACGTCACCCCATGCGAGTCCCCGTGGCCTCCCTGACGGTGGCCCAAGGCCCCCGCAGGGGGCCTGACTTCTCTCTGCAAACACAAGAAACCACACCGAACGTCCGGCGGGTTGAATCCCCTACCCGGCAAAAACACTCTCCGTTGCCCCCCGCCTGAGGGGCCTGCTTTCCACCACCACCACCACAAGAAGGTGGCTGTGAGGAAGGAGGAGGAGGAGGAGGAGGAGGAGGAGGAGGAGGACCCCCTCCCACTCCAACCTGTGGTGGTGGAAGCCACGCCCATCGCTGCCCCCTCCCCGACTCGGGAGCGACCAAGAGGGGGGTGTCCAAGAGGGGGGGGTGCAAATCATGACCGGCGGCATGTGCGCGGCCCAGCGGGGGGGCCAGGAATGTAATGAAATAAGAAGAGGCGCCATGAAATCTGGGGAAATATCATGGCCCCCGCCATGATATCCACCCCCCCCGAGTCATCACCTCCTCTTTGCCGCCCCCGACCGACGCTGCCCCCGACTGACCCTCGAGGGCCCGGGGCAGCGCGAGCAGCAGCGGGGCGAGGGCGCGGGCCGCCATGGGCCGCGCCTGCCCGGCGCGCGCGCCTGCCCAGGGCGCGCCCGCGCCCCCAGCGCGCCGCGCGCCCCGGGGGGAGCCCACAGGCTGCGGCCAGACGCTGGGAGGCACACCAGGGCCTACCCTCAAGGTGCCCAGGGACACACGAGTAGAGACACGCAGATCCCAGGATCCCCCATGTGCTCCCATAGTTTTAGGGTCTTCGTCTTCCCCCCCCCACGTCCCATAGTTCCCCATGTGATCATGGGAACCTACGTTCAATTGTGACTGTGTGATGTTCAGCCTCCTGACGGCAAGCCTCCTCGAAATCAAACGCATTTGTTTTACGGAACCCTCTTCATATTGGGGCCCTGGGGGTGTCGCCACGGCGTGGGAAAACCTTGCTTTTGATTTCGAGGGGGAATGTACGCGCGATGGCACAGCAGCCCTGCGCAGTGGCTTACGCGGGCCGCCTGCGCGGGCCGCTACCTTGGAAACGAAGGCGATGCCCGCGCAAGAGAGCCCGTTTGGGGGAGGGGGACCCCCCTCCCATTATGATTACTGCCTGTTTTGCTTTGAAGCTCTCAGTAATCATATACATTATGCTGTATGGAAATAGGCATGGGATCCTGTGATAGTCTTCGGCTCGCTGCGAGGTCCCCCCTTCCACCGCTGGCGGGGGTGGCCGCCGAGCGCAAGTAATCGGGCCAACGCTGGTTGGGCTCCGGGGCGGGGCGGGCAGAACTGAATCTTCCCATCCGTTCCGGGGAGGGTTGCACCTCACCTGACTTCCTGCATCGGAACCCGCGATGCGCGACCCGCGACCCATGCAAAATGACGATTGATAAAAGAATGCGGGGGAACGATTACCAAACTAGATTCCCAATCTTCGGCTTCCGCTCCGCTTCGCCTCCGTCTGGCCCGTCGACAGTACAGGCGCGCGCCCGAGGAGGGCGAAGGGGAACGATTGAACAAATGGTCTGCTGGCCTCGGGCCAATTATTCTAATCATAATCCCAGGCGCCACCGCGTGAGCATGACCCCTGTTACTTCCTGAATCACCATCCTGCCCCTCGCGCCCTCGCGCAATGATCAGCGTCATCATGATCATCATCATCATCATCACCACCATCACCACCACCACCACCACCACCACCATCATCATCATCATCATCATCATCATCATCATCATCATCATCATCATCATCATCATCGTCATCAGCATCATCATCGTCATCGTCATCGTCATCGGCATCAACAGCATCGTCATCATCATCATCATCATCATCATCATCATCATCATCATCATCGTCATCATCATCATCATCATCATCATCATCATCATCATCAGCATCATCATCATCATCATCCACACACTCATCAGCAGCATCACCATCATTATCTTCGTTATCATTGTCATCAGCATCATCATAGTCATCAGCATCATCAGCATCATCAGCATCATTATCATCATAACAATCAGCATCATCAACATCATAATCGAAACGGTCGTCATCATCATCAGCATCGTCATCATCGAAATAAGCATAATCATCAACCTCATAGTCGGAATCATCATCATCAGCAGCATCATCGTAAACATCATCAGCATCATCATCAGCAGCATCATCATGATTACCATCATCATCAGCATTGTCAATATCAACTACCGACACCAGCATCATCAGCATCATCGTCATCATCACGCTAATGAGAATCACCATCATCATCAACAGCATCAGCATCAGCAGCAACATCAACATCACAATCAGCATTATCAGCATCATCATCATAATCATCGTCATCATCACTACCACCATCATCAGCAACAGCAACATCATCAACAGCAGCATCAGCATCATCGTCACCATCAGCATCACCATAATCGTCATCATCATCAGCTTCATCATCATCATCATCAGCGTCATCATCCGAAACATCATCATCACCATCATCATCATCCTCATCATCATCGGCATCATCATCATATAATCGAGAAGAGATGTCCGATGGTAAAGCCCGAATCGTTTGGGTAAAACAGCTGGCGGGGGTGAACCGATTTGGAGCGGATGTTGCCCGGGAGGGAGATGCGGATCGAGAGGCACCAGCGGAGTACAGCCGGTCAGCGCCAGTCAGAAGGATGGAAGGATGAAGCATCAGGATGCGGTGCGCCTAAGACCTTGTCAAGTCAGTGGCACCCCTGGGCCGAGGCGGTCCCCCAGGACCGAGGGGTGCAGGGGTTCCTTGCGCCAACGCCCATCCACAAAGCCGTTGCTTCACACACGAAGGCCTTGGGTGCAACGACCTCGGCTCAAGACGTCGCGTCGCCGCTGGACCTTCCCCGCGCCAGCCCGCTCCGCGGGCTTGGCTCGAGAGGCAGTTTTTTTGTTCGGTTGCGGACCAATGGGTGCACGCACCAGCGGCGCTCTGAAGGCCTAGTGAGCCTCTCCGAAGGGTTCGGATGCCTCCGAGAAGGCCTCATTAGTCAGTGGAAGATTTCGCTCGCGAACAGTCTATGATTAGGCAGAGGCGACGGCGATGACGGCAGCGACGACGGCGACGACGACGCCAGTGGCGACATTCATGGCAACGGTGGGGATGCCAACGGCAGCGACGTCGGCGACGACGGTGGCGAAAGCGCCGACAACGGCGCGGGCGGCAGTGACGACGACGGTGGCGGTGACGGTGGCGACGGAGCTGGCGACGACGACGACGACGACGACTAGGGACGACGACGAGCGACGAGCGAGCATGCACGAAACAAGACGACAGACGACGGGCGGCGACGGACGGAGCGCGGCGGCGGCACCCACAGCCCCCCCTTTCGCGGGGGCGGCGGAGCGCGCCTGGCCGCGGCGGCGCCACCGCGCCGCGGGCCAAAGGGAGCGGGCCGAGGTGGTCGCCGTTGTCCTGGGCGCCCGCCCGCCCCTCGTTTGGGAGGTCGCCAGCGGCTCACTTGCACCAAGCCTGGCCGAGCCCCCTCCTGTAGGGAGGAGGAAACACACCACCACCACCAACAACAACACCTGGAAGATGGAGTCCGTGGGTGGTCAGGGGTGGTCATGGGTGGTGGTGGTGGTGGTGGTGGTGGTGGTGGTGGTGGTGGTGGTGGTGGTGGTGGTGGTGGTGGTGGTGGTGGTGGCGGTGGTGGTGGTGGTGGTGGTGGTGGTGGTGGTGGTGGTGGTGGTGGTGGTGGCGGTGGTGGTGGTGGTGGTGGCGGCGGTGGTGGTGGTGCGTATCGTCCTGGGCGCTCTCGCGGGACATCATGCACACCTGCATCCCGCACATCAGCTCCTCCTGTGTCCCGCCGGATGGTAATGCTTGTGCGCTTCCTGCTCCCAGTCCTATGCCCAGCGACGGTGACCGCGACAGTGCCCACAAGGGTGTCCACGCAGGCGGGGCCGCAGCGGGGCCGGAGCGCCCGAAAAGAAGATGATATGATGCGGCAGGCACGGACATCGCGGCCGGCAGGCTGCTTCATGATACACAAAAGCTGTGCTCGAGCTCGTGCCACGTTATGGTGTTCTGGCCACATTTTCATCCTGGGCCCAGGATCGGTGCGTATAGGCCGTCCTGGCCTGGCCAGGAAGGCGTGCACACAGATCCTGGGCCCAGGGTGGGCAGGCAAGGCAAAGCGCAGGTGTAGACTTGGCGACCTCGGCTGATCTCGGGGTCCGCCAAAGGGAGGGACCCTGACGGGAGGGGGAGTTCTATCCGCCGGTGCATCGAATTTCCGCAAAACGATGCCCACCGCGAGCCCCGATTGTCGACACCTCTCGGGCCCCGGCGGCAGCCGGAGACCTGGCTCTGCGTCCATGCGCCAACGGACCGAACTCACCCCCGCCAGTGGCACCCCCCCCTTTTGCGAGGTCCCGATCATCGGCACCGCTGCCGACGCCCGCCGCCCGTCGCCCCGTCGCTCCGGGTGGCCGCGCCGTGCGTGCCCTGCGCTGTGTTCTGTCGGGGTGTCCGTCGCTCTCCCGGCCTCCGTCGCTCCGACGTCCACCGCTCGTCGCCGCCTCGTGGTCGTCGTCGTCGTCGTCGGAGGAGGAGGAGGAGGAGGAGGAGGAGGAGGAGGATCACAAATTCGCTGAGCACCCCGCTCACCCGTAGCTGGGTTGCGTCTGCAACCACAGCGTCGGGTGCGCGCCGAAGCCTGCGCCGCGCCGGGAGGGCGCGGGCGCCACGAGGCCTCGGTGCTGGTCGCAGCACGACCCAGCAACGGGCGAGAAACGGGGCGGGCACGGGCGGGTCAAATCCCGAGCGCGGGGCGCGCGCCCCAGGCACACACAAACCTGCGGTACCTGCGCGCGGCCGCGGCGGGCAGCGGCCGCGCGCGGGGGCGCGCGGGCCCGCCCACATCGCCTGCGGCGCGCCGCGGCGCGCGCGAGCCAAGCGGCGGCGCGGCGACTGCTCGCGCCTGCGTCCGCCGCGTGCGCCTGGGGCCAGCGAGCGTGCGCGATGGAACCAGGGGCCGAACTCGTTCCACGCACACACACACACACACACACACACACACACACACACACACACACACACACACACACACACATTCGCTGAGCACCCCGCTCAGCCGTAGCTGGGTTGCGTCTGCAACCACAGCGTTGGGTGCGCGCCGAAGCCTGCGCCGCGCCGAGAGGGCGCGGGCGCCGCGAGGCCTCGGTGCTGGTCGCAGCACGACCCAGCGCAACGATGCGACCAGCGCCGTGCGCCGCTCACCCGTTGCGCACGCGGAGCGCGGCGCTCGCACTAGGTGTCTGAGCTGCTGTCAGAGCTGTCCGAGCAGTCGGACGCGGCGTTGCGCGCGGCCGCTACCCTCTCACTTTCGACCTGGACGCGGTCGATGTAAGCCAGGTAAGCGTGCGACGCCCAGCCTCCACGTTCCTTCGTTACCGCGGTCGGTGCACCCGCGCGATCGATGTTATCGGCGCGCCCCCTTGTGCGCGCGAGATGGGCGGAGGGATGTGCGCGCCGAGCCGCGCGGGCGGTCGCGGGTCGCGACCTTCGCATGTCGTGGGCGCCGAATAGGTCGGCACTGCCCACGCCTATCCTGGACAATAGGGACCGAAGGATACGCCGGGCATCCGAGCCTGAGAACTGCGCGAACGGCTGAGTGCCTACTGCTGTGCCGCGCAGCAACAGCGGCAGCGCGCGCACGGCGCGCGTCGCGGCGCGCGCGCGGCACCAACACCTCCGGCGGAGCATCGACGCGCACGGCTTGTTCTTCCGCCTTGGCAACCAGAGGAGTGCCTCGTCTGCCGATATGGCCAACTCCGCCTAGCGCGTTCGGCGCGCGCGCGGGTGCCCCAGCGCGCGCGCTTCCAGACGGCGCGGCCCGCCGTGCGGCCGCGCGACAGAGTGTTGCCGCACCGCCGGATGGGTAAACACTCGGATGGTAGGCGAAGCAGGAATATGTACGTAATTAGGAACATGGTGGATGCCACCTGCGCGACCGCTGGGTTGACTGGCGAATGCCGCGCGGCGGCCCCGCCTTCTCCTCTTCGCTGCGACCATGTAGGCCAAGTAATTGCGCAATCATAGCGTCACGAACGAAGCGCGGTTCGCGTGGCGCGCGTCCGCCGCGCCGCACAATGGCTGCCTTGGCCTTCCTGGGCGCGCGACGCGCGGCCTCGCGCGCGCGGTGGCGCGGGGGGCCGACACCGGAGCAGCCGTCTGTTGCCGAAGGCGCTCGTGTCCAGGCGTAGCACTTCGCACGCTGTCTGCACGCGCCCGCAATTATTCCGGAACGCGCCCGCGCAAGAGAATGCGCCGACCAGCACAACAGATCGTCCTGGGCGCACGCCGCAGATTATAGGAGTCTGCGGGCCGCACAGGAGGGGTTGCGCGGATTGGTCGCGCCTCGCTGGGCGGCAGCGCGAGATGCCGGTCACGTCCGAGTACGTCTATCGCGAAATTGAGCCAGCACCGCACACCGCTCTTCAAAGATTGGCGGGTGGATGGTATAGTCCTGACCAGGACCTCCAATCGGGCCCGCGCCGCCCATTCGCGCCGCTCCCCCTGCGAGGGCATGGAGCACGAAAGCCACTGCGCGTTGCGACGCGGCCCCCCTGGCACGGGCGGCGAGGGCGGTCCTGTCCGCGCCATCGCCATTTCGAATGCAGGCGCTATCGCTGTCAGGCGCTCTGGAGAACGGCTCCGAGCACCCCCGCTACGCGCGGAAGAGGGCCCCGCGGTGCACAGGCGATCGAGCTCCGACAGGAGGGGCGCTGGCAGGACATGCAGGTCCGCGATGCACCTCAGCTGCGCCCCGACGAGATCCTGGTGGGTCTCGAACCCTTGCTCCGCCAGCGCGCTGGCCGCACGCGCGATATCGGAGGCATCCCCTGCGCGCCGGCGGGCGCGCGCGCGCGCACGCCGCGGGCGCGCCAGCCGAGCAACCTTTTATTCCGCACTGGTGTAAATCGCGGGCGAGGCGAACCGATGCGACACTGCCTGTGCGGCGAAGACGCCGACCCGCGCCCGCGCGCGCCGCTCGCTTAGAAAACGCTTCACGCCTCTTGATATGCCGGTCACCGCGTCGCGCCCAGGGGGCGGCCCCTGGGGCAGTCGGGCCAGCGCGGCCACCCGCGCGAGTCGACGGCACTCTTCGCTCGCGCCAGCCCGATCGCACCAGCCGGCGGTTTCGCCGACGCGCCCCTGCAGCTGCATGAGAGAACAGCAGCCATGCCGACCGCGTAGAGCCGCGGCCTCGGCCGCCGCCGCATCGCTGAAACGCCCTGGGAAGCTACGGCGAAAGTCGCGGGCGAGCTCCATCTTGCGCAATGCCGGCTAGCGTGGCAGCCGGTTCCGCTTGCGCGCGCGCGCCCCGCGGTGCGCGCACGCGGGGCAGTCTTACTAACATGCAGCACTCGCGGGCGGTGGCCCACAGCGGAAGGCCTCCGCGAGTTGTGCACGCACCCTCTTCCCCCCCAGACGTGAGAGCAAATCCCGTTCCTCGCGGCTGGGAAGGTCGGCCAGGTTCCTTGCCGACTCCACGCGCTCTATCCACGCGTGGACATGCCGCGGTGGCGCGGCCGCGCGCGTGTCTGGCGGCGCGCGGTTGCCGCGCTGCCTGGAGCGCCACTACCGCCGACCAGAATTGGTGCACGAGAAAATTGTGGTCGCGTGACTTTGCGGCGCCCTTCCTGAAAGTGCACTCAGCGACGCTGTTGTCTGATAAGAAGACCACGCGGCGCCGGCGAGCGCGCGTGCCCACGTGGACAGAGCCACGCGCTGCGCCAGCATCTCGAGCGCCGCGATCTGCTGATCATTGCGGGCGCGTAATCCGCTGCACCAATCGCGCAACGCCCGACGCGCGCGCGGGGGCGCGCGGGCCTGCCCACATCGCCTGCGGCGCGCCGCGGCGCGCGCGAGCCAAGCGGCGGCGCGGCGACTGCTCGCGCCTGCGTCCGCCGCGTGCGCCTGGGGCCAGCGAATGTGTGCGATGGAACCAGGGGCCGAACTCGTTCCATACAGAGGAGGAGGAGGAGGAGGAGGAGGAGGAGGAGGAGGAGGAGGAGGAGGAGTGGGCGAGGGGGAGGAAGAGGAGGAGGAGGAGGAGGAGAAGCGGGAGGAGGTGGCGGAGGCGGAGGAGGGGGCGGAGGCGGAGGAGGAGGCAGAACAAGATGAGGAGGAGGAAGAAGATGAGGAGGAGAAAGAGGAGGAGGAGGAGGAGGAGGCAGAGGAGGAGGAGGAGGAGGAGGGGGAGGAGGAGGAGGAGGAGGAGGGAGGAGGAGGAGGGAGGAGAAAGAGGAGGAGGAGGGTGACATGGCTGAAGATCCACGTTTCCTCCGACCGACTGGCGGCAGGGACGAAACCGGCTGCACGCAGCAGATCTCGCTACCCACCCATCGGATGAGAAGCGATAGGGGGGGACTGGATCGGGGGAGGAGGGGGACATCAGCCTTGAA